GATTCTGCTCCAGGTCATGCTGCTCGGTGCGCTGTCCTTTGCAACCTGCGTGCGAATGTCCAGGATTTCTCGCAGTAGACGAAGGGCACTGTTCCTTCTTTCGGGGGACAGCTGTGCACCGACGTTGGGCCACTCTGGTCGTGCCCCCCGCTTGCTGGGGCGCCCCGCTGGGTACGGGGACGCCCCTCTCGTGGAATCGAGTTCGTAGCGTTATGGCTAGGCGCATCGCTGAGACGCAGGGACTGTCCGGTGCGAGGTGGTCAGCGATGAGTCTCCCTTCTCTCCTGGCGTTGGCGATGAGGGCTGCGCAGGCTACTTCCGTCGCTGCTACGCCCACGCCATGTGCACCGGGCGGTTGTCCGTCGGTGGCGATGTCAATGACCACTAGTGCTTGGTCTAGAAAGCCCCCTCCTATCTCACCTCGGAGCCAGTCGGCGTCTTCTGCCGGGAAGTTGTCGAGGCACATTTGGAACCTCATCCTCAGACCTTCCGCGTTGATTCCTGCTCCTGCTGGATCGAGGAAACGCGCTGGCACTGGCATGCGCGGGAGCTGGGCGAGACATCTGGGGACCCAGTCGCGCAGTTGTCGGCTTGCGGGAAACTCCGTGATGCGGTCGCGGATCTGAGCAGCTGCCCCAAGGGCCCAGCCGCGAGGGGCTCTACAGGAGTCTGGCTAGGGCGCCCACTTCGGCTCTGAGCGCCGGCTCGCCTCCAAGGCTCGAGTCCTCCCTGTCCGAAGATGTGTGCAATAACTCGTTCGGGCTGTCCGTCATGCGTCGCCATGCCGCTAGTAGCTCCGCGACTAACCACGATGGGGGGTAGCTGGTGGTTTCTGGCAGGAGGTCCGGGGAGCAGATGTGGCTGGCTATGGGCGCGTATCGGGCGCCTACTCGGGCCTGCTGGTACGAGAGCTGTGTGCCCAGTGCATGGGTGTCCTGGGGCCTGGGAGCTGTCGGAGTAGAATCCGTCGACTGCAAGACACCATGGGGTGGCTAGCCTGTGACAGAAGATACACATGGGGCCTTGGGGGCCCCGCGCAAGCCAACAGCCAGTACCCACACCTTGTGGAGGGGCGGGTGAGGTCTCCGAACACTATCATGTGGGACGCGTTGTTGAGGGGCCAGGGTTCCTCGGGCGCGTCGTTGCCCTCCAGCATGACCCCTGGCATGCCCGGGGGGCGCGGCCCCGCGCCTGGCATGGCGGGGGCCGCCCATTCATTGGGCCCTGTACCGTGCTGCCCCATCGATAGGGCGTCGTCGCCCGCCTCGATCCATTGCCCTCTGTCGACTGCCCAGCTTCTGACCTCCCTGTGATCTGGGAAGTGCACTCGATTCTGGCGATGCCCGTGGACGAAGTAGCGGCACATTTTGAACCTGAGGTCGTGGTCTGGACCCATCTCTCGCGAGTCTGGGGCAGCGTTGTGTCTCCATCTAGTGAGGCCGAGCATGGAGTCTGGGAGGAGATCTGTCCGACGGATCCCTCATGCCGATGTCCATGCATAGGGCCGCATAGCGAAAGGCATCGCACTCCAAATGCGCCGCGAACATTTCAGTGTCGCTTGGGTTGTCGCAGTCCAAACGTTCTGTCTCGATGTCGGGGTCTTGGGCCAGGCTCGCATACCGGAAGGCCACCACCTGCACTGGGTCTGGCCCTACCCCTCCTAGTCTCGCCTCGCGACCGGCGCCTGTTATGGACCAGACGAGCCAGGAAAGATCGAGCTGGGCCAGGGCTGGGCCGATGGCGTAATATTGTCGGTCGGGCCCCTGGTCCGGCTGCGCACCGCGTTCGAGGGAGGCCCTGAGCGGGTCGGGCACGCCCCCCGGTGATTGGGGCTCTGGTTGAAGCCTGGGGTGACCGGGGGGGTGGCGGTTCCAGCAGAAGTGCACCAGGTTCTCCAGTCCTTGGCGCATCGCTTGGTCGCGCACCCTGCCCCTGGGCAGGTCCCTCCACGGGCCCGCCCGCCCGCCCGCGGCTCGTGGTGAGCTACGAGCGCCGCAAGGGTGCCTCCTCGCCCGGTTCCCCTAGGGTCCGCATCTCGGGGGCCCAGGTAGGGCCCGTCTGCCTCTCGGCTTCCGCACCGCCGCGGGTGGTAGTGTAGCCTACCGAAGCCGGGATTATATAGCGGCAGTTGGGGATTGCTCGCCTGGCGGGCGAGCGCCCCCTTTCTGAGCCGCCCGACTCGTCCTGCCAGAACCTGGCGTTGTCCGGAGATGAGCAGGGGCGGTAGCCTCCTTGCCCGTGTCGGTTTGAGCCAGGGGAGGGCGATGGTGGTGAGGGGAAGCCTGGAGGAGGGTCGATCGGGCGATCCTGGTGCGCGGGATCCGATCGGGCCGCGATCTCGCTGGGCCCCCGTCTAGCGGCGTCTGCGCCACTGCCGGAGGCGCCTCCATTTGGTCCCCCCTCCTCGGGAAGCGCCCCCCCTCCGATCTCCCCCGGGGCTGCCGCGGCCCTTCTGGTCCGACTGGATGGAAGGGGAGCGCGGGGAGATGGTGCAGGTTCC